TGTCTTACTGATTGAGATATGCTTGTTTATCATAAAAATGGTAATAATATTATTACCATTATTATCATTGTAGTTAAGCTAAAATTAATTACTCAAAATGGTAATAATATGAATTTACACGTTTTTATAAAAAAATCAATTACTGAAAATGATATATTTAATTAACTAATTAATTAAGCTAAAATTAACATTTACGTATTTTATACATAAAAATAAATTTATTACAAGTAGTTAATATGTGCTTTTATAAAAACCGTTAAGAAATATGGATTAGGTTTAAATCTGAAAACGAAAAGTAGAAAGTTGAAACCTTCCCGAGTTTCCCATATTTGAACATTGACTTTGTTGTATTAATGGATAAACAAATAAATAAATGTAATAAGAGTAAAAGATTGGGATAGTTAAGTGTAAAACATTGACCGGGGATGGCGGTGGAGTCCGCAATAACGTACAGCTAATGCACGGCGTGATACGCGGCGCGGTGAATGCGGACCTCTCAATATTCCTCGCTTCCGGTCTCTGCCTTTATTTTGTCATTCTCTCCACTTTTTAGTTTTTATACTCCGTAGAAAAAAATTCAACTTTTTGCCGATATTTGTAAATGAATTTTTGTATCTTATATACGGAGTAAATGTTAATAATATGAAAAAAAAAAGTGCATATAAGTTCATCTGGAAACTGAAACTAATTATAAAATGGTAATAAAATGAATTTATAACTACAATGGTAATAATGGTAATTGTAAAATGGTAATTTATAACTATTTAAAATGGTACTAATGGTAATATTATTATTATAAAGATTTATGATTGGTTTTATAAGGAGTAAATATTCCACTCTTTTTCAATTTCCTTTTGAGATCTCCGCTTGCAGTCATAGAGGAAGAACGACCAAAAAAAAAAAAAATGTTGTGAATAGGTTCACCCCATCAAAGGCAAGCTTTCTTGGTTGGCACTTTTTCTTGGATCGTTTGCTGATAAAAGATAATCTTATGAGTAGAGGTATTTCTTTGGGCCTTTCCTTTTTTGCTTTTTCTCATCTGGCAATTTGAATTTATTTGAATTTCAAATTTGGTATTCAAATGATTGGTAATGTTTTTGAGTTTTTAATAAGAGAAAGAAAGAACTAACGATTTGTTGGTCCGAGTAAAAGGAATTCGGTTCCTTTTAAGTAAGGTCTCGAATTCGAATTTTGTGAATGGAGAAATAGATGTTAGGAGAGTTTCTTTCTTAATA